AATAATCTAATTAAAATGGGTAAAGGATCTGAGTAGACAGTTCTCAAAACCAGACTTACAATGGCCAACAGGTATATGAAAAAATTCTCAGAATGATTAATTATCAGGGAAATGCAAATCAAAAATCACAGTGAAATATCATACCCAGGTGGAATGGCTGTTATCAAAAAGACAAAAAATAACAAGTGCTGGAGTGGATGTGGAAAAAAGGGAATTCTTATTCACTGTCAGTAAAAATGTAAATTAGCACAGCCACTATGGAAAACAGTATAGAGATTTTTCAAAAATCTAAAAATAGAACTACCATACAATTCAGCAATTCCACTAATAGGCATTTATCCAAAGGAAAATAAATCAGTATATCAAAGCAATATCTGAATCATCATGTTTATTATAGCACTATACATAATAGCAAAGATATTGAATCAACTTAAGCGTCCTTCAATAAATGAATGGGTAAAGAAAATGTAATATATATACACAATGGAATACTATTTTGCTGTAAAAAAAAGAATGAAATCTTGTCATTTGTAGCAACATTGATGGAAAAAGAACATTCTGTAAAGTGAAATCAGTCAGTCACAGAAAGACTCTATCACATGTTCTTACTTATATGCTGAACCTTAAAAAGTTGATCTCATGAAGGTTAAGTATAGAATGACAGTTACCAGAGGCTGGGATGGATGTGTCCATGTTGGGGAAGGGATAAAGAGAACTAAGCTACTGAGACCAAACATACAGTTAGACAGAAGAAATAAGTTCTAGCATTTGATAGCACAGCTGGTGGTTATGGTTTACAACAATATATTGTATATTTCAAAGAAACTGGAACAGAAAATTGAAATGTTCCCAAAACAAAGAAATAATAAATGATCAAGACAGTGGATATGGTAAATATCCAGCTTTTATCACTATACATACTATGCATGTATTAAAATATAACATGTACTTTATGAAAATATAAAAATATTATGCATCAATAAAAACAAAAAATAAGTTCAGAAATAGATCAATATATATGTTAATTTAATATTAGTAAAGGTAGAATTTCAAATAAGAGGCCAAATAAGAATTATTCAATAGTATGGAGGGGACAACTGGTTAATTATTATACAACAACAACAAAAATAAGTTAGAGTTCAGAAAGCACTAAAAGAAAATAGAAGTTAAATAAACACATTTATTGTGGAGTAGGATTTTTTTTCTTCTTTTAGAGACAGGGTCTTGCTCTGTAGCCCAGGCTGGAGTACAGTGGCATGATCATGGATCACTGCAGCCTTGACCTTTTGGGCTCAAGTGATCCTCCTGCCTCAGCCTCCAGAGTAGCTAGGACTTAAGTGTGCGCCACCACAGCAGGCTAATTCTTTTTCATATTCAGAAGAGACGATGTCTCATTATGTTGCCTGTCTGGCCTTGAACTCCTGGCTCAAGAGATCCTCCCACTGCAGCCTCTTAAACTGATGGGATTACAGGTGTGAGCCACTGCACCTGGCCTATTTTTAAATGATTGTACAATATGGCAGTAACTCACTCAGATGTAATTATGTAGTACATAGCAACTGTGATATAAGAGACTGAAGGAGAGAGTTAAAGTGCAGGGTTGGAGGAAGTAGATCTTAGCTGGCTACTGAGATCATAGGACTGGACTGCAGTGATGAAGAGCACAGGGAAAAAAAAGGAAAAAGACATATGTCAAATACTAAAAGAGGTTCTATTTGGATGGTGGAATTATGATAATTTCAAATTCAATTGCTTAATAAATTACCTGATTATAAGTAAATGAAACCTATCTCAACCAGAAAGGAAAATGGAGCCTGGGCCAATCTATCCAATCTTCCTCACCAAACTACTCTGCCTTTTGTATTTTCTATCCAAATCCAAATTTTAAGGGTGATAAAACTGATGCTTTAGAGAGGTTAAATCATTTGTTCATGATCATACTGCTAATGATTGGTTGATCAGGGATTCAAATCAATGTCTACCTAACCCGATAGTTTATTCTCTTTCTTTGCTACCTTTTGAGACAGTCATCCTACTCCCAAAATGCTCACAGCATAAAAGTTAAGAAGATGATACCTGTAAGATCCATGAAAATCTTGTGAAACAATGTATTGTTTAGTGCTTTGGAGCTTCATTTTAATAACCATGTCAGAAGGACTTTAAAAGGATAATGTGACCTGGAATTGAGAATCTGAAGAACATGGGATCAAATATAGGTCTTATTTAGCAGCTGCATGATTATGTTTCAATTAATTAACCCCTCTGAGCTGATTTCCACATCTGTAAAATGGGGAAAATGGCATCACTTATTTCACAGGATTAAATTGAAGACTGAAAGGAGAAGTTATAGAGAGTTGCTTTTATTAATTATACAATATCGCATTGGTGCTAGCAAATTTAGAAAAATACAAACTTTTTATGAGATCTAAATCTATTTTAAAGTGCTATGAATCTTGTTCTTGACTATATAACACATCTATTTGTGATAATAGTGCTAACAGCCATATTTCATGATATTTCATGAACTTTGAACAGAGATTTTCTGGATCCCTCTTGTGAGATAGAGAGGCTGTATTGCATTCACATTGCTTTGGTCTGGCTACATTTCTTTTTGCTGCATTTTAAAATTATTCAATTGTTTTGTTTTTGCAATTTTGTTTTTGAGACAGGGTCTTGCTCTGTTTCCCAGGCTGGAGTGTAGTGGTGTAATCAAAGCTCACTGTAGCCCAATCTCCCAGGCTCAGCTTCCCAAGTAACTGGGACTACAGGGCTGAGCGATCACACCCAGCTAATTTTTGTACTTTTTGTAGAGACAGGGTTTTACCATGTTGCTCAGGCTGGACTGAAACTCTTGAGACTCAAGCAATCCACCCACCTTGGCCTCCTAAAGTGTTAGGATTACAGGTGTGAGCCAGGGCACCCTGCTTGTTATTGTAATCATTTGTAAAATATATAAATTAGAAAAACTGTGTTTTTAATACTTACAGCATTAATTTTTTTCCTTAAGAAAACTCAATCATGTATTTGCATGACATTATTAAAGATGACAAGTCTCTAAAACATTAGAAGTTTTGGTTTTATGAAAAAAAAGAAAAAATATATATTCAAAATGAAAACACTTTATGCAAATTATCTTTAAGCATTTAAGAAGCAAAATGAGAGATAAATGTAATTCAGTACAGCAAAGTCTTTTCTTAAATATCTCGAATTATTATAAAGGTGAAATAACTACCATCAATTGATATATTACTGTTACCACAACTGCTATACTGGCACCTTGTGTTGCAAAAACAAAACAAAACAAAAACTACTTTCTTTTAAATATACTACTGTTTAGCTGGGATTTGTTCTCTATTTTATTATGGTGGTATACTAATGCCAGAGATTAACTTGATATTTATATTTATATTCAAGTCTTCAAGTTTCCTGAATTTCTAACACTAAGAATCCCTTAAGCAAGCAAAGAGTCAAACAAAAGACCAAATAAAATAAATCTCAAAAAACTCAGGTGCAAAGTTTTTCAGAATTTCCACATTTCTCACACTACAGTAATTTACATTTATTTATATGACCATCTAACTAATCTCCCTGTCCCCTGAAAGTATAAGCTTCATATGGGCAGAAATAAAGGTTGATTTTGCTCATCATTGTATTCTCAGCACCTTGCAGAATATGTAATAGATATGCAGGCACCTGATAACTATTTGAAAAAATCTCATGTGAATAAATAATTGTTAAAAGAAGAAAAGTAGTAACTTCAGATAATTTGTTTTGACCTTCCGAAAAAAGCATGAATTAAAACCCCTATTGCATGAATTATGTTCAAATTAGCTTTCGAATCGATAAAGGAAACATATCTAAAGAGAGACCAATGCTCATTTTAGTCAGAAAACGTTTAGTGAGCATGTGCCAACCATAAAGCTCTTTCCAGATGACAGGAATACGAAAACAAGTAAGATAAGGTACCTGTTCTCAATGAAATGTTTTAAAACAACAGTGAGTATATATTACTAAAGAATACCCATCAGAGAAAAATATCAGAGTAGAGGTACGATTTAAGCTAAATCTTAAAAGATAATTAAGAGTAGGGCAGATGCACGAATGGGAAAAGTCATTCAGCTTAAAGGAAAAAAAAATTTACACAGGCACAGAGTGTGATAAAGCATGGTCTGTTTGGGAAACACTAGATTAAAAATGTGTAATCCTGATAAATGCCATAGGGAGGTCAAAATGAAGACTAAAAAGGGATGAAACTAGCAATTTAATGTTATTATATATCTGGCACATGCCAATTCTAGATGGGCAACTATATTTATATAGATATTATCTTCCTAATGGGGCTTCTCATTAGTTTTGAAAACCCTTAGAACACTGTCTAATATATAATTTTCACAGTTTTGTAAAGAGTAACAGGCATAGATAGGAAAAATTTAACAAAGGAAACATTTCAGGTTGATGATTAAAATAGAATATATGTTTCTTTTTAAGCTAGGTGGGGTTGGGCATGGTGGCACATGCCTGTAATCCCAGCTCTCTGGGAGGCTGAGGCAGGTAGATCACTTGAGGTCAGGAGTTCAAGACCAGCCTGGCCAACACAGTGAAACCCAGTCTCTTCTAAAAATACAAAAAATTAGCCAGGTGTGGTGGCATGCACCCATAGTCCCAGCTATTTGGGAGGCCAAGGCAGGAGAATCACTTGAACCCAGGAAGTGGAGGCTGCAGTGAGCTGAGATTGTGTCACTGCACTCCAACCTGGACTACAGAGCGAGACTCCACCTAAAAAAAAAAAAAAAAATATATATATATATATATATATATATATATATATAAGGGGAAACTCATTTTTAAGTTGTGGGCTGTAAAGTACTTTAGATCCTGCACAAGATTAATTCAAAAGGTAAAAAAATTAAAACTATGTGTTAAGATGAAAATACCTCTACCACATATAATTCAAACACCAACTTTAAAAAAGCTTTTAAAATTAAAAAAGGAAGTCTCACCTTCCTCTGGTAAATAGCAATCCAATCTGTCGTGGCAAACCACTTGTGAGTTTTTATATCACTGACACCGTTCTTTAGATTTCCAAATCTCTTGGTCAAATCCACCTGCAGCAGGTTCCGTAGAAGGTCCTTGAGATCTGAGCTGAAGTGCGATGGGAATCGGACCTACACAAACACACCATGTGGTAAAACACACATTCTAAGACTCATGATATTTCTGTTTTAATTTCATAAAGTTTTTTTTAAGGCAACAAATATTTATATAAACAAAAATATGGAGAGATGACCTTCACATAGTTTTAACTATACATTACAGTCCCCACAGTAGTCATAAGGAAGAGAATTATTACTTGGGTGAATGAACTAAACCTGTTCTCTTAGGGCCTTGCTTTGGACATGATGTCTTTAAAAAAATGGAACAGTCTCCAGAAAAATGTGCATACCTACAGAACTGTTGTAATAATATCAGAAGGTTCACCTATCTTTAAGAGCAATCTCTTTGGATAACACATTATAAATCTGTGTCTGAAAGATATACAAATTTAACTTTGTAATATAAATAGAAGAACCAGCATATGAAGGAAATCAGTATGTACATTTTGAAAAGAGATCTATCAAAAAGGAAGTCTAAAAATGGTTGTAAAAACCCACACTGCCTTTCACAGCATGGGAAACCATTTTTAATTTATCAGGAGTTGGCTTTTAAAAATAATTCTATTATGCAACAGCATAAAAATGACTTAGGCTGGTTTAAAAGCATTTTTTCTACCTACTAAATTGTGAAGACGTAATTACAAGTCTGACCTCTGGCCTTAAAAACAAATGGAAAACCCCAAATAACTGATGATTTTTGGCAATAAATAAGGTCAAAGTACCATTTATAGGAGACCTAAGTCTATTTTTTTTTTTAACACATCTTTTCCTCTACACCAACCTAACTTTTGGTTCTTCCAGTTTTATTGGTATGGGTAGTAAAAAATTTAAAATGGGTACCACCAAAGGATGAAGGAATGGAATAGCTGCATCTATGCCTCCTTATTCTTTTCTGTCATTACTACCTCTCCACTATCCTTTCCAACTTGTGTTCAATCCTTTCCACTACCCTCTTCCTTACCATACACACATATGTATGCACACATGTATGTGTACATATCTGGATTATTAGTCTCATGTACAAATCGATCATAGCACCTTTGTAGAAAACACTTTAAAGGGTTAAAAAACCCATTCTAGAACTCTCTGCATTCTTATTTTGGTTCTTTACAAGTGCTACCACTACAAGTGCTACCACCACTTAACAATTTAGGTAGTGCATCATTACATTACCTCAGTTGTTCTTTACAATACATTTATTTATTCAATTATGCTGTAGTATTTTTGCATATTTCTGTCTGCCCCAGGCTCTGAGCTTCTGAGGGAAGGTATTGTGCCATTTTTATTCTCAGTATTTATTAGACTATTTCAAATACTGTAGTTCATTTATTTTACAATTATTTATTGAGTAGCTACTATATATCAGGCACTATACCAGGTGCTGGATATAGAGCAGTTAGCAAAACCAGGCGAGTATCTGATTTCATGTAACTTACATTCTAGTTGAATAGGACAAATTCAGTGAATATGGTATGAACTCCATTTTAAAGATGGAGAAACTAAGATTCAGAAATGGTATTGGGTATAGCTTTCCAGTCATCAGGCCATAAAGTGTCAGAGCTGGGAATAGAAATCTAGTCATAATTTGTAGCTTCATGAATTTTGCTCTTTATTATACTGTCTTCAAATATATAGATTCCTTAATTTATATTCTTTCTAAAATCTCAACATACTTGACATACATTCTTACGTTCTCAAAGTAGAAGTTAAATCCTCAGCATGCAGAGATAGATTTTATAGTAAAGTTAGATTCATAACCATAGTCTTTTGACTGCCACTTTTGTGCTATTCTATAAGTAAATGTCTCTCAAATCTGGCCCTAGGACCCATGTACATCAGAATAAACTGCGAGACAAAAGGATAAACACGCGGATTCCTGTGGCTTGCCTCAGATGATGGGGGCATTGGGCCTGAAAATCTGAGCTGTTATCTCCAAGGGATTCACATGTACATGAAAGCTTGAAAAGTACTATTCTCAACTCTGTTCACTACTTTATGCAGAGGCTTTATTTGCTATGCTAGTAAAAGATCATAACATTTTAAGTGTAAATAATATAATACAGTAAATTGAAACTGTTATCATACTAGAGGAAAGCTGATATTGTGTCAAGCAACCAAAGACTATTTGAAGGGTTAATAGTTAATAAATGACCAGGATTTAGGCTCAATTCACATAAATTAGCAACTCAAAATCTTATTTTTGCAAGGCTCTTTATTATCCTAGATTATGAACAATTTTAATGTTCTAAAACAGTAAGATATGTGAACATCCACCTTCTCTAGTTTTATTCTTGGCACAATGGTTTACTAGAAGCTAGGCATTATGCTAAACACTTTATGCAGTGGCTCACAAAATCCAAAACATAGGTATGATAATTATCCAAATTTTATAGGTAGGAGTGAAGCAATTGAAACCTAAAGAAATCACTTTGCCCAAGATTACAGAGCTAATAAATAGTAAGGATGTAATTCCAAACTGGGTACACTGAACGTAGGGTATATATTTTTAATTATCTACTCTCCTTCCATGATTCAATGACTGAAAAAATAGTCATTATCAGGAAACTTCTAAAAGGCTGCAATTTTCATCTTAAAAATATTTTGCTGCACATTTCCTCATTTATCCCAGATGAAGAAACAACTAGAGAGTAAGGACTATTCAAAGGACATACTGTCTACTTTAAAAATAACATGACATTTTTCCAGTGGTTTTTTTAGCTCAGATTTTTCCAGTGATAAATCTAAACTTTATTTAGATTCCAAAGAAATAATTTATTTGAAGTATATCCATATTTGTTTAGTATTAAATCTATGTGAACTGTTTAATGGTAATGTACCAGTTATCCCCTTCATTATGTTGAGATGGCAGGTAGTACTGCACTACATACAGATTATCTTTGGAATTCAGGTAATATGCAATGCAATGCATGAAGAATAAAAGCATTCTAAATAATGTAGTCCTTTATTTTGGAATGCAAATAAAGTTATGTTCTTGAGTGTGTGTGTGTGTGTGTGTGTGTGTGTGTGTGTATGTGTGTGTGTGTGTTTAATCTTCAGAACAGTGATTCTCAAATGGGGAATGGTGGTGGGATGTGATGGCAGATATCAGAGTGATTCGGGAACTTTTTCAAATTAGAGACACATCCTCCTTACCTCCACATCACACCCGCTTCCCCGGAGATTCTGATAGGCAGCCCATACTCTCATAGAGGTTCATTTAATAATGGGAATCTATCATATTTTTAAAGTATTTTGAGGGAGAAATAATGAAAGTCACTGTGAAAGTATTTTTTCTTATGATTATTCTAAAATGTAACCTGAAATGTAATTTCCTTACGACTGAACTTTCCAAAGAGCCATGTTGATTTATCAAACTGGAATTAGTGAAAAACAGAAGATAACTTCAACATAATTTTTTTTAATGTACAACCTTTATTTGTAATTCATCAATCTGGAGACACTAAAGATTTCTATGATGGGAAGAGTGACTATCTAATTTTTCCTTTAAAATTATATCAAAAGGATATTGCTCTTATCATTATTACCAATTATAACTACTATAGAAAGTGAGATCAGAATTCTCAAATATTGGAGGGAGAGGGAGCTTAGTTTAATTGAGTCTCAACTCTCATTTTTAAGATAAGAAATCTGAGCTCCAGTGAGGCTACCAACCCAGTTAGTGGAATTATTGGGAAAATAACTTAATCTTCCTGACATATAGCTAGGAGCTTTCTGCCAGTCCAAGATAGAACAAATAATGTGAAAGTAAATGCAAAGAGGTAGATATTGAAAAGAGAAAGACAGCCTAAAGTAATTAAGCCAGTAAGTCTGAGAGATAAGGTTATTGGAAACTGGCATCATTTAACATGGACGAGCTGTTTGTATAACATAAAAGAGGTGTTTGTGATATACACAGTTCCTAAAGTGTTTTCCTTAAACCTTTTCTCTTCAATATTATTTCTTGTTTAGGATTCTTTTCCAACCATTTGAGACCATATTACTCCTGATTTTGATAATTTTATTTTCTTGAAAATAAATCTACTTCCCCAGTGAGGTACAGATACAAAAAACAAGCTTTCAACACATGGTGTTTATTGGAATCATTTGTGATACTTAAAAAAATGTTTCGAATCCACAGAAGACCTTCTGAGTCAATATTTCTCAGGAGAGACACCAAAGATAAAGCACATTTCATGAAATCTTCATGAAGGCAGAGACCACAACTGTAGAACTGGTCTGGCACATGCTATGAGCTTCATAAGTATTTAATGAATCAATGAATAGAAATTTGACAAACATTGATTGAACCTCTACTATATGTTATGCTTGTACTAAGCAAGTACTATGTGCTTACTAATAAATCTCAGAACATGTGTTTGGATTATATTAGTAAACAAAATAAACTGAAGATTTCTGCCTTTACGGAGTTTACATTCTAGTGAGGAAGACAATTAAAAGTTAGCAACCTAGTAATCCTTTAACAACGTTGTCCTATCCCTCTTCAAGAAACTCTGCATTGTAAGGTTTTCGACTTTTAGTTTGCAGAAAATGGAGAATTATTGCAAAATTTTGAAAAGAATAATAGGATATGACTTAACATTTTTAAGAAATCACTCTAGTGACTCAAGAGTGACAGCAGTGGACGTGGTAAGAAGTGGCTGAATTCTGTAAATTCTAAAGACAGGGCAAAAATGGTTTCCCTGTGCATTAGATATGAAGTGAGGACTCCAAGGTGTCTTGGCCTGACCAACTGAAAGGGTGGAGTTGTCATCAGTTTAGATGGGGAAGGCTTCGTGCAGGGGGAGTGGGTGGAGTGTAGAAAAGGAAAGAAAAACTTGTCAGTTTTAGACAGGTTGAATTTAAGGTACTATTAGACATCCAAACGAAGATTTCAAGTTAGAAACTGGATACAAGAGTATGGAATTTGGGAATCAGGTATGGACTGGAAAAATGAATTGGGGAATTACCTTGAGCATTTAAGTCATGAGACTGGATGAAACCACCAATTGAGA